CTTCTATTGTACTTGTATTGTATTTAACTCCACATTTTTATATTTTATTGATACTTTGTCTAACTAAATAATTTCATCAAAATGACCTTGATGCAAAAAACGTGATTAAATTTTTCAAGACAAACATCAAATGGTTTACAATTGCTTTACCGATGCCATTACAAACACTCGAATTTCACTGAACATATCGACTATAAATACGCAAATACTATTTCAAAAATAACACACAAGCGTATATAGGTTCCCAAACAGAAAAAATTTGATCATGTACTTGATTTAGAGTTGAACATACAAATTTTTACCTTACTTTGAAATCTATAATATGACAAAAAAGACTATACAATTTTACAGAGTTAAAGCACATAGAATTTGAAAATTTTTAGAACAAAATAAAAAAAAAAAGCATCAACATTATGCAAAGATTTACAATAACTTTGTGTACCTTGCTTTAGCACAATTTACTCTTACATTTAATTTGATTTTATAACATTAACCTTTCCGCTACGGTAGCGTCAACAAAAATAAGTAGAAAAACGTGAGAAACACATTCTACACATTTTACGAATGAACAAAGATGATCGAAACGGGTTAGTGTAGAAATCTTGTAGACTGTCGAACACGTTAAAAAATTTCTAAATAGAGTACTTCATGTTTTGTCTACTAAGTTCTATACAATTTGCACAGTAAAAATAGGAGTACCACAAATGCAAGTCTTTAAATATCTCAAATAGAAGAAAACTTCAGAGACTTTAAATATACATTGATTCTTCTAATAGAAGGAAAATGATAACTGTACTTGGAATTCTATGTACAGTAAATTCTCCACAAGTGTCAGACAGTTTGGATTCTACAAGTGTCAGTATAGATGGTCCTACGCCTAGGTCTGCGTATTGCTGCGCCTATGTTATCTCGTTCGCTGTCAGTCAAGCGCTACACCACTCGGTTTCTTTTACGAGATTTCACGGCTCGACAATTCATAATAGAAAAATATAATTCTACAAGTGTCAGTCAAATGTAGGGCTGATTCTACAAGTGTCAGTCAAATGTAGGGCTGATTCCACAAGTGACAGTCAAATGTAGGGCCGATTCTACAAATGTCAGTCAAACGGCAGGCCAATTCTCCAACTGGCAGTCAAACGGTAGGGGCCAACTCTATGTAATGTAATACAAGGCGTCTGTTTTATCTCAATACAGTGAAATATCTGGCGTGACATTGAACGTGTTAATAAGTAAATGTTGTTCAGATTATGTCGTGTTTGATGTCATTTTCATCAGAAAAATCTCATCAATATGTTAAGAAAAATTTCGGGATAAAAAAACGTAAAATTAAAAAAGTTGGTATTTAAATCGCTTGGTTGCCTCGACTCACATTTCATCCTTATCTTTTATTCGCTGTCCTTGTCTACGTTCGGCAAACTACAAAGGCGGGCGCGAGGCTCGAAAACGTAGTCCCTGACTCTACAAGTGTCAGGTTTAGCTTCCTTGCGGACTGACCCTTGTGGAGAATTTACTGTATACTCCACAGACATCCTTGATAAACCTCAACGTAAAGAAAAAGTATTTATATCCCAGGAAAGAAAAATTTCCTAACCTCATATGATATTTCTTCATTCTTAAGGTGAGTAGAACATACTCCTAAATCTCCTAAACATACTGCTACTCTGCAGAGTTTGACAATGCAGTCTTTCTCACTCTATCGCGCGCGAGCGTGTATACAGTATATCACCTAACTTTATCACTTGAAATATTTCTGTTGCAATTAAAGTTTCGTAAAAATGTTTCCTACAAAAGTTGCATAGTTTTATGGAGGCCAATGTATAATAGCAATAGCTTTATTTCGTTGTAAAGGGTTAATGAGATAAGAATACCAACTTTGTTTCTTTAAACGGAATGCTATATTTTATTTATTTGTATATGATAGACATTTTGAAGACCAATTCAACGGCCTATAACACCAAGTTCTTCAAGGTCAGCGAAGGTCCAGCGATAAACCTATAATTTTTTTTATACATTTGTTATGATACTTGTCGAATTCGTCTCAATATCCGCTGAAAGATAGGTGTAAAAAAACTTATAGGTTTATCTGTAAAAACTGAAGGTGACTTTGAAAACTCCGAAAAAAACTAGTTGATAAGAAATTTAGTATAATTATCTCAAAGCTCTCTTTGAACCATGTTATACCAGACAAAAACTTTTCGATCGGACTGATCACGTTTCATGGTTCATCCTGTATATTATTTTTCTTAAAAGTTCGATAATACTGAGTCTAATGAGAAATTTTTTTGTAATGTTATATAATTTAGAGACATCTTGTACATGAGGTACAAGTACTACTGCTGTATAGTACCTTAAATGCAAATTTTTCACAGATTTCAGTGGTCCTTTTAAAAGTAAATGTAATATTCATGAAAAAAAATTGTATTACATTTTGTACAGCTAAGAGGAAAGACATAATAAAGATTTTATATAACATTCAATTTCTATTTGTAAAACTCATTTATAAGATAAAGGCAATAAGATTAATAGATAAGTAGATAAGTAGTTACCAGTACTTTTGTAAACTCCTAATTGAACAAACATTTAAAATAGCTACTGACATATTGTTGATGTTATTCAAATGCCAAAGAAATTACTTAAATTACTGCTGATGTTATTTAAATGCCAAAGAAATTGCTGGCATAATACACATGAATGATAAAACATTGATGAAGTGATGTCATTATAAATAATAACATTACAAAATGAAGTAACAGTTAATACTACATAGCAATGTATTGATATGATGAGTTAGTAAAATTGATTGAATGCCAATTAGGAAGACTTTGAAAAACATAAATAAAAATAGCAGTTGGGAGAATTATTTTGCTCACTTCACAGCCAAATTAATGCACACAAAGTTATTTTATTGTTCACCTAATGGTAATTAATGGTAATTGTTCACAAAATTTTCTACTAAGTGTCAAGTGAATTCAAGTAATTTAAATTATCAATCAATCAAAAATTATAATCAAGTAACTGATCAAAAATCATATTGCGTTCTATTAAATACAAAAAAGTGCAATTTTAATGTGATAACGTTTTAACACATGTTATCAAGATTATCTGCCTATTACAAAATCAAAGAACAAAAAATAAATCAGTATATAGATCAAATGTGTTAGTTCAGTCTATAGATTTAGTATATAGATAAAGTATAATCTATAAAGATAGTCTATAAGGAATAGTCTATACATAAAGTATAAGAAGACAACTGCTATTTCTGCAACCAAATAGGGAACCAAAATAAAAATTCTCTTGTCAATTCATTAGTCCAATAATGTGCAATTACATACCCAAAATAAAATAAATGTCTAATTTTGTCCTCCTTACAAAATTCTATTATATGTATATATTACCTCATCTATATACAATGCAAAAATTTTCAAATAATTTAGTATGGTACTGCAATATACCT